GAGCCCACCACACCTGAGGAGGCCGCAAACACAACCCCCAAGAAGCCCGCGCCCACCACCCCCGAGGAGCCCGAGCCCACCACACCTGAGGAGGCTGCAAACACAACCCCCAAGAAGCCCGCGCCCACCACCCCCAAGGAGGCCACAAACACCACCCCCGAGGAGCCTGAGCCCACCACACCTGAGGAGGCCGCAAACACAACCCCCAAGAAGCCCACGCCCACCACCCCCAAGGAGCCCGAGCCCACCACCCCCAAGAAGCCCATGACTACCACTCCCAAGGAGCCTGCAACCACCACTACTAAGAAGCCCATACCCACCACCCCCAAGGAGTTAGCAACCACCACTCCCAAAGGGCCAGTGACCACCACCACCAAGGAACCTATACCTACTACTCCCACAGAGACTGCACCCACTACCCTGGAGGAGCTTGCTCCCACCACACCCGAGGAAGCTAATCCTACCACCCCTCAGGAACCCACTCCAACTACTCCTGAAACACCTGCTCCAACCACTTCTGAGTCTTCTACTCCAACTACTACTATGAAGCCTTCCTCTACTCCCAAGATTCCTGCTAAACCAACTCCTGAGTTACCTGTAGAACCCATACCAAAGTCTCTTGAAAACAATCCCAAGGACCCTGCTGTATCTACAACCAAGGCTCCTAAAGTGACCAAACCTGAAATAACTACAACACCTGAAATTACAACTACTGCTCCTAAGACGACAACAATAAAACCCACAACTACAACAGAAGAAAAGTCTGCTGAATCTAAGATAACAAGCACAACCATGCTTGTAACAACGACAAATGAAGATACCACAATGTCAGCCAAAACAACACTTAAAGCAACTACTACTGCACCCAAAGTAACTACTGCAACAAAAAAGACAATGAGTACACCTAAGGAGACTACAGAGAAACCTGAAGAAACAACAGCGAGACCAAAAGATACAGCTAATTCTAAAGTGACAACTTCTAAACCTCAAAAGCCAACCAAAGCACCCAAAAAGCCCCCTTGTACCAAAAAGCCAAACACAAAACCTAGAGTGAGAAAGCCAAAGACTACACCAACTCCCTCAAAGATGACTACGTCAACACCTAAACTGAGCCCTACCTCTTTAGCTGAAGCCATCACCAGCCCTAACCAAGCCTCAAACTCAGAAATAGTTGAAGTAAATCCAAAGAATGACAATGTAAATGCTGCCGAAGGAGAAAAAGCTCATATGGTTCCCAAGCCCCCTGTGTTAAGTCCTCCAGTTATTTCAGGCATTGATTCCTTAGTGAACGGACCCCATCAAGGTATTAGCACCAATCCTATGCTTTCAGGTAGTAAGAATCAGTTACATGTTACATTCATTTTTAAAATTGGTAATGTTAGCTTGTCCCTGGGTGATACAGATGGCTTGCACTTGACTCCTAACTCAAAGGTTGGCAGTCTGAACTCACCTAGTGATGGCACAGGTAAAGGTCTGGCAATCTGCATCCCTTAGATTACACACAAGAAAACCCTTTGGAGCAGTTCTACTCTGTAACACATGGGGTTGTCCGGAGTTGGAATCAACTCCATGGCAACTTTTTTTTTTTTTTTTTAATGTTAACTTGTATCTATCTGAACCAATATGCTCTCAGTATCATTCTATTGAAAGATATGATCTAGAACCCTGGACTTGTTAACTTGTGAAGTTCTACAACTTCTTTGTAGGTAAGCAAATGATTAATCACAGTACACTTATATTTAACCTTTGGAAAATTAAGCAATAACCAAGTGTTAGGAATTCAGTGCATCTGTCTCTAAGCAGCAGAGATGGCACACAGAATGTCCAAAAAAAGTTAGCTGGGAGTCTACCCTTAAAAAGTACAATGCAAAGCAAAGATTTGCAGTATTTATTTATTTTCCAAACTAAGTCCAAAAGGCAATCAGAATTAAAAATTGAATTTCCCACTGAGTCAAAGCATCCAGTAAATGTCTAATTTATATCAAGATTTCGGAAACCTGGTTCAATTTAGTTATTTATTTTTTTTATATACTACTTTCTGTATAGTATATTTTTAAGTAAAATAGAATTCTGAAATACATCAGTTCTCTTTCACCTCTGAAATACGTTCACATCAAACTATGTCCTTCAAGATTTTAGGAAAATGTAAACAAAGGAAATGGAAGACTAGGGGATTTAAAAAGAATGTAATTATTTTTCTTATTATGATATACTGGCCTAATATACTTTTTAAATTATTTGTTTCAGATGAAACTAACTTATGCAATGGTAAGCCAGTAGATGGATTGACTACCTTGCGCAATGGGACGTTAGTTGCATTTCGAGGTGAGCTGTGTCCACATTTCTTTTTCTTCCCATCATTTTGTTCTTGGCATTTATGAGATGGGGAACCAGATGAATTTATCTCTCACAGTATTTTGAGAACTTGAGAGTAATAACCAACATATTGGATTTACACAATTAGACACATTCAAGAAATAAAGAGCATGAACTAAGGATTTTCCTTCCATTAGGAATTAAAAAGTAGTTTAAATTTTGATTTCATGTCATAGGAAATGATATTAAGATTTGTATTTCATTTGAAAATAAAATCTTGATTGAGCCATATTCAGATGTTAAACTTCATGGAATAACAGAATGGCACTGTTTCATGCTTCCTAACTCTCTGCCATACTATTTGCTAGTCCAATATTCATTAAATGTAATTAGTCATTAAATCTGAAAACAAATCATAGACTCAAAGACTAAATGAGAGACAAATCACAGACAAAAGAGATTTCTGTAGTCATTTAATTACAAATACTCCTTAATTAAAATTCAAATAAAGAATTTGACACCCAGAGAGATAAGTGACTTCCATGTCACAAAGCTGGAAGCTCTTTCTAGAGAAACTAGAAAATGAAAATATTTCTAAGGCTATGTTAAATTTAGAAGAGAATTATCTACTCTTAGAAATGTTCAAATCCTACCTTCTATTCTAGTACTCTGTGCATTAACTCAACCTAGTTAATGCTTGTTAACACATTCAATCTGGTTGGTGGTTGTTGTTATGTGCCATCAAGTCAGACCCAACTCATAGTGATCCATCCTTGGGTTTCTGAGGCGGTATCACTACGGAAGTAGATTGCCCAACCTTCCTTCCGAGGAGTGGCTGGTGGGTTTGAACTGCCAGCCTTCTGGTTAGCAGTCAAGTGCCTTAGGCACCACACTACCAGAGCTCCTATATGTTTGGTAAGCCATTAAAAAAAACTCATTTTGGTTTCTTTAGGGGCAGGTTTTATTTTAAGTTGATCTACTTCTTTAAATTCTAGGTCATTATTTCTGGATGCTAAATCCACTCACTCCACCCTCTCCACCTCGAAGAATTACTGAAGTTTGGGGTATTCCCTCCCCTATTGATACTGTTTTTACTAGATGCAACTGTGATGGAAAAACTTTTTTCTTTAAGGTAAGAAAATCATCCTTATGAGGGAAATCAGCAAACAGTTAATGCATTGTTTAGTAAACAAAACCCGCTGCTGTCAAACAAATTCCATTTTATAGAACTATGAGCACCTCAATCAGCTTAACTTCAACTTTAGAAATGTCTTCATATTTTGACAAACTATCATCAAATTTAATAAAAAGTTCACATCAGGAAAATATCTGTTAATAACTTACTGAAACATTAAAACAACAAAAAACCCACTGCTGAGTCGATTCTGACTCATAGTGACCCCCACTGGGTTTCCAAGGTTATAAATTTTTGTGGAAGCAGACTGCCTCACCTTCCTCAGGTGAAGCAGCTGGTGGGTTGAACTGCTGACTTTCTGGTTAGCAACGAAATGCCTTACCCATCATGCCACCAAACATTTAGATACATTAAAACTTTCACCCTATACTTAAATCTAGGAATGGGTTCCAAGCCAATTTTTCCTGAGCTGTTAACATCATTTTCTTTTTTAAATTACCAGGATTCTCAGTACTGGCGTTTCACCAATGATATTAAAGATGCAGGGTATCCCAAACAAATTGTAAAAGGATTTGGAGGACTAACTGGAAAAATAGTGGCAGCTCTTTCAATAGCCAAATACAAAAATAGGCCTGAATCTGTGTATTTTTTCAAAAGAGGTATGTGTTATAATTTACAAACTTTTTAAGGAATTGATTTGCCAGGGAATTCTTATTCAACATTTTCATCTATTACTGGCTTTACTGAAAAAAAGATAACTTTGATGGCTGAATCAAATATTTTTAATGATAAATAAAAGCTGGTGGCAATAAGTAGATCTTTTGACATGCAAATCACAATTCATCTTTCAGGTCACTGGTAAAAGAATGTCATCATTTAAACAAATAAAATTAAATATATAATATGAAATAATCTGGATTTATTCTTTCAACAAGTATTTCAGGATTTAGTAATCATTTTTCTAATATCTTTGCCAAATAACCAGTAATAACAGTTGAACACATGAAAAACGACAAAACTGATCTAATTCTCTACCTTGTAAAAGCTTGTTTTCATTCTTTTTGGGAATAAACATTAATGTTCATATTATAAAAGATTTTCTAACACATAATAGGTGGTGGCATTCAGCAGTATACGTATAAACTGGAACCCACCAGAAAGTGTACTGGAAGAAGGCCTGTGATCAATTATCCAGTGTATGGAGAAATGACACAGGTTAGGCGACGTCGCTTTGAGAGAGCTATAGGACCTTCTCAAACACACACCATCAGAATTCACTATACTCCTGTCAGAGTCACTTACCAAGACAAAGGTAATTTTCTTTTTATTGTTAAAAATTTTTACACATGAAGTAGATGTTACATAGTTTCTTACAGAGTAAAGCTTACTAAACATATTGACCAAATAGCCTGAATAATTTAAGCTTATTAATGTAAAACATATCAATTTGCCTCAGTTAATAACCAAAGATCAAGACTTTTCTTTTTTTTGTGGGTGAGGAATGCAGTTTTATTCAGGTCTGTTTATTAGAATAAATACAGTTTATCAAGGACCTCTTGATAGAAGTATTAATACAATTCTGTAACCCTAAAAACAGTTCTAAAAGTTAGACAGTATGGCCATATCAGAGAGAGCAAAAAAGGAAGCATCAAAGTTAAATAACACAACAAAAGGGCAACAGAGCTACCCAAGCAAACAAATGAGACTAAAATTCACGTCTGTCTGACTCTAAATTTAAGCTGTTCTTCCCAATACGATGTATTTACCTTTCAGTCTGAAACCTTTCATTAAAAATGTCATTTACAGGTTTTCTCCATAATGAAGTTAAAGTAAGTACACTGTGGAGAGGACTTCCAAATTTGGTTACCTCAGCTATATCACTGCCCAACATCAGGAAACCTGACGGCTATGATTACTATGCCTTTTCTAAAGGTAAGTTATTTAGTAAAATCTCATTAGCTTCCCAATATAAATTTAATCAAAGCAAAAACACCAAGTGAGATGTTAAGCTATAACACTCATTCTAACTGCTCTGAACAAGAATTTACAGTTTTGCTTTAATTTCAATTAAACTGGATAGAATTGTAATTCAATGCTGCCCTGTCTTTCATGAGATAAAGTCCATTAAGACAAACAACCAATTATTTGAGTAAAACAGCTACTGAAAACAGTATTTTCTTCTGTCATCTATGACATTTAACAAAAGCTTTGTTTGCCACAAATTAATACTGATTTTCATCATCATTACATAGTCCATAATATTTAAAAAGGGTTTCTTGAAAAAATAATTTTATGACTTGAATTCTATTACCCAGGCCAAGTTTTCTTGGGGGAAATCTAAGTTATTTTACTTAATGCTAAATGACATCAGAAATATTTACTAGAAAGGATAAAACCCAAGTATAATTACTATTTAAAAATGGAGCTATTCTCAAATGATTACTTTGAAAAAGGAAGAGTTAAGCCTAATTTTACTGAAAGATGTCAAAAATAAGTGCATCAAGGCAACTGTTTTCCTGTTTATCAGTAAGTTCAAATTATTTAATAAAAGCATATCTGATATTTAAATAGTAAGCATTGTTTTCCAGTATAATAACTGACACAAATTACGTTTGTTTAAGTATTCTGTTTTCTTTTTAACTAAAAAATGATTTTTCTTTTCTTTAGATCAATACTATAACATCGATGTACCTAATAGAACAGCAAGAGCAATTACTACTCGTTCTGGGCAGACTCTATCCAAAGTGTGGTACAACTGCCCTTAGACTGATGGAGAAAGGAAGAGCCAACCAAATAAAATGGAAAAAAAAAAAAAAAGATAAATTTTGACACTGAAATACAATTTTATTAATAAAGAATATTGAAATGAGCATACCAATTTAAATACAAAAACGTTTTTCAACTTGACAATAACACTAAAACAGCTTTGACAATCTTATTCACACTTACTAGAGTTTACAGAACATTTAATTTAATTAATATTTCCTCTGTTTATTCCTCCTCTCCCTCCCATTGCATGGCTCACACCTAGAAGAGAAAAAAAGAATCAAACTGAATGTATCTTTTAAGAAGTAAACTCAAAACTAGGGAATTCACTTCATTCACCTCGTTCATTATAAAAACTGTTTTCAGTTCAGTATCAAATACGTAACAGGCACAGTGGATATAAAATTATTCTTTATCTTAAATTATTCTGTATCTTCAGTTGAAATCACTAGCTAGCAATTGGATTAACATTTTTATAACATGAAGGTAATCTCTAATGGTTACATTAGAAAATACAAAGATAACAGTTTTACATTTTTTTAGTAGCTAACTGAAGTCAGAGTTCTATTCCAGAGTATAAAAAGGTATTTAAGAATATGACAGTAAGGTAGGGATGTAACAAATAAACATATGACACTATAGCACTTCAGATTTTCCAAATCTTACTTTGGATTCAAGAAGAAATATATAAACTATAAGGACCTATTTGTAACAGTTACAGTATACAAAAAGAGCTCTGGTTGCTCCGTGGGTGAGGCATTAAGCTGCTCACCAAAAAGTTGTTGCTTTGAAACCACAGGTACTCTGAGGGAGAAAGATGAGAAAGTCTGCTTCTGTAAAGATTTACAGCCTTGGAAACCCTCTGGGGCAGTTCTACTCTGTCCTAATAGGGTCAGTCAGAACTGTCTGCATGGCAGTGGAAAAGTTTTGTTAATATATACATGTTATCTTTAAAAACTTCACTGTCAATCTCTAATTATTAAATCAACTCCTCAATCTTTTTAATAATTTTTTTTTGTTGAAAATATATACAATTCCATTTCTATGCGTACTATTCAGTAACACTGACTACATTCTTCAACTTGTGTAACTATTTTATTCCTCCTTTTCTGAACAGTTCCTCCCCCATTAACATAAAGTCACTGCCCCCTAACTGTCATATCTAATTTTTCAAGTTGCTATTATCAATTTGGAGCTTATTTTAAAAACTAACTACAGGTTAAGAATTAGAAACCTTGTTCATTTATAACTACCCCACATCTCATCATGTAATCAATAGGTCAGAAATTTACCTCTCTGTCTGTTAAAGTGACGGCCACGGACACCCTGTCTCAATGTTGTCTGAAGTCTTACTCGTCTGAAAGGCTTTGGTTGACTACTACTAGTATCTAGGAAGAAGAAAACCCCATTGAGATACAAGGAAAACAAGTTAAAAAAACCAAGAAAGCAGCTATAATGGCAATAAATAATTACTAAATAAAAGCATGGATAAATCCAGGTGTCCATTGGCTTTCAATATATATATGCAAAACAATGAAGAACATTAAAACAAAAGAAGTATGACATGAAAAGAAAATCTAATTTGAAGAAGAAAGGCTTGACTTTTTCCATTCACCCCTCATCTAATTTAATAAATATTCACTTTGTGCCTACCACGTATCAGGCATGGTGGCAGGTGTTAGAGGATATAATGGTAAATAAAACATCAGTACCCTCAGTAAACAAGTCAATTACAATATATGAGTCATATATGACTCTTTTTTTTTCAGATACTCCATATTCATCAGCAAATCTTGCAAACTAATTTAATAATGTACCAAACTGCCCCCTTCCCACAACCTTCACTCTACCAGTCTAAGTTGTCACAATCTTTACCTTGCATTACTGCAAGTTTCTGAATGTTCTCCTTCCTACCCATTACTCATTTTTAGTCTCTTCTCTACACAACAGTCAGACTGATATTTTTAAACTTTAAGTCAGATCATGACTTAGCTGCTCAAAGCCCTCCAAATGGCTTCCTAGCTTGCCAAAGCAACTACAATGATCTATTTGATCTACCCTCTCTTTAATAAAATTTTCTTTTTAAATAAACCATTTTAAAATTCAAGAATAGAAGACATTATTGAATTGTTACTAGTAAAATGGTGATTTTGCAAAGAATTTTGATACATGAAAGTTATACCGTAGCCAAGAGCAGAAACTTACCTACAGAAGAGCTGGAAGGAGGATCCTGGCTGGTGGAAGGAAGATCTGACTCATCAGAAGCCTGAACAGGCTCTTCTTCCTGCTGGCTATCAATTTCGAGCCCTGCCTCTGAGCTAATACTAAGAAAGGGAAACAAATACTGATTAAGAAAATAAAAAACTGGGGGTTCCTGCAAGATGGTGGACTAGGCAGAAGGATTGCACAGACCCTCTTCAAAAAGAAAAGGGAAACCAATTAACACAGACACAGAAGATAATCTTGGACCCCTGAGCCTTGAAGGAAAGGATGCAGAATTGGACTAAACCCC